TGTTTTCTCAAACCCAGCATTTAAAAAAAAAAAGTCACCTGAGGTGGTAGTTTAGTCACAGGTGGGGATGGGCCAGTGGTCAATCGGGAGGATGGCGCCAAGGCGGTATGATGGGTCCTTCACACGTAGTACCAGGCCAAGAAGCCGGCAACAAGGGCTGCACCAGCGGCCAGAATGAACTGGAGGCTAGGCTTACTCAGCACAGCCAGGGCTGTTCGGAAGGGGCAGCTGCTGCCCTCCAGGGCACCTGTGTGGCGGCACCAACAGGGGACAGGGCATCAGTGGAGAACGCTGACACGCCCACCCTGGAGGAGAGTTTTGGACCGGCAAGACCTACCTCCATCTTGTTTAGCAGCGTAGTAGGGGCATTTACGCACATCTCCTTTCCCATCGTGCATGGGGAGCCCATCCTCCAGGGTCTCTTTGGCCAACAAGAAGCCAGCCTGGTCCAGTTCATCGAAAATCTGCAGGAGCAGGGGATGAACAGCTTTCAGTGGACTCCAAAGTGCAAACCAGTCAAGGAGCAGCCCGAATCTGCAGCGGGGGCAGCCACACGGACCCAACGCTGCTCCCTGGCACAAGCTCAGAGGTGGGGCCACACCTGTGCTGCTGACTGTGGGAGCTCCTCCCTGGGCACTGACCAGACACACAGCCCACAGCTGGAGCTACCAGGGCAGAAACAGGAGAGAACAAAAGCGTTGCCCCAAAATACCACGTTAACATTGGTCCTTCCCCATTCGCAGTTACTAGGTATTTTCAGCAAGAATGACGGAGAGGAACGTGGGAGAACTGAGGCCCCAGCAGGGCTGACCCATCCTAAGTGGCCCACGGAGGCTCACTGATGTGGGACTGATCTGATGGGCCTGTGTCGGGCCTGGTGCTTCCTTTCCCCGCCTCGGCCACCCTCCTGGTGCCGAGGGCCAACCTGGACTCCAGGACAGAATCTGCCTCCCCAGGCTTAGCCCCATTTAAAAAAAACTTGTCAGCTGAGTTCTCACCCTGCTTGGTTCTCTCCTTGAACTGATCAAGTGGGGCAGCCCTTGCTAAAAAGGAGGAAATCCACTCAAGACCAGAATCCTGTGGTGAGAGGGAGTGACCTCCCTCTACGTGCTAGGGCCTTGCCCTCCTTGGAACAAAAACACAAAAGTTGTCCATCAAAGCGAAGCCATCATGGGCTCATGCCCTCTGTGGCCTATTTGGTCCTACGATTTTCTCCCTGGAAGGCTGCCTCATATCGGGCCTAAAGCACTGGTGCCTGTTACGGCAGCTCCGGATCACCCCCACCAGTCAGGGGCCCCCTTCTGCCTGACCTCAGCAGTACCTGCATGTTGTACTCAAAGGCCTTGTTGGCCTCCTCCACGATCTTCTCTTTGGTCTTTAGGTTCAGGTCCAAGGCATTCATCCTGGCCCGGTAGAGCTGCTTGAACTGTTGAGCATTGTCCACGTTCTCAAACTTATAGAACTGGGTCCCTTCTCCCGTGCTGGGGAGTTTCAGGGCCCGCTGGGCCACCTTCTTCAGCACCTGGCCCCCTGAAAGGTCCCCCATGTAGCGGGTGTATGCATGGGCCACCAGCAGCTCCGGCTCATTCTGCCCCACATAGTGGATCCGCTCCACGTACTTTTGGGCAGCCTGGGAGCACTGCACCTGCTCCTCCCAGTTCTCGCCAAAGAAATACTCCATGTCCTTGGTCAGTGCCTCCTTCCGGTGCAGCTCCGTGGGGAAGTACAAGGGGGCAAAGGCTGGGTGGTCCTTGTTGCGTTCCATCTCCTCCTCCAGGGCTGAATATGTGAAGTAAAGTGCAGTAGTGGCCAGCTGTTGAGGGTGACAGGGGAGACCACGGGGAGGGCTGCAGTTCTGGCAGCCCTTGACCAGCAAACACCCCTCCTGAGCCCAATGCCCTTGCGTCTGAGCAGCCATAGAGGAAGGCTCCATCCAGTCGCATGCCCCCTCTAATTCCCGCAGGCCCATTTTGATACAGTGGATTATTTCACACACCCAGGCAACTTTTTATGTTTCTTAAAGGAATGACACGGAACGTGGATACTTCTGCTTCACACCATCACTATGTTATTCTATTTAAGCTACCTGAAAACCACAGTCTGCTGTCAAAAGAACGGAGAGCAGGTGGCAAAAGGCCCAGCTTCCACTGAGGAACTGTTCCAAGGGGATGTTCCTGACATGACCGAGGCCCCCGACCTGACCCTATCCATGACCAAGGGCACAAACCTTAAACAGCTCCTTCCTGATGTTGCCTTTCAAGAAGTCCTTGACAAATTGGGTGTTTTCTGCCCGGTCATGTGCTTCCTTGGTCCCTTCCTTCAAGAGCTCAGAGAGGTCAGCCATCCTGCGGAGATGGAAGGTGTGTGCACACGCACGTGTGCATGTGTGAATTAGCCCTTCCTAGTTTCAGGGTGTCCCCTCGCTGAGATAGACGCAGGAGCTTCTGAGAAACTCAACCCCAGCCTGAATACAGGGTCTTGCTAGGGAGCACGGAACAGGCAGATGTGAGTCAGCCCCCAGTACTTGGATGACATGTGGAGGACTGTGGCCTACTTCCTAACAGTGTCCATGTCTGAACCACCTGAATGAACAATGCTTTGCCTCTGTGACCACCTAGTGCCTGATAAAAAGCCCACCTCTAATCCCAGCACAGCGTGTGCTGGCTTCTGCAGGAACAGCGAGCCTTTGGGAACGTGTCTCATGGAATCCACACTGCTGTGATGACTGACTGTGGATGTCCCGGGGCAGCCTTGCTGCCTTCCTCCCACCTGGGACCCACAGCCTCTTCAGGACTGCATGTGGCTTGGCCCAGGGGCAGGAGGAGAAGGAGACAGAGGCTGAGGAAGTTGGAGCCAGTACCTGGGCTTGTACCGCTTAACAAAATTATACAGGATGGAGCTGTGCTGACAGGTGCCACAGGCAGCAACCAGCGAGGGAAACAAAGAACCCATGACCCTGAAGACGGGAGGCGCCGCGCAGTAGCCTGTGTGGTCCACACGGTCCGTCCACCAAAGAGATAAAAACGCGGCATCATACAGCCCACCCTCTGCTGGCTTCTTTAGGAGATCGGGCTCCTATCACCTACATGCTGAGAATCATTTCTTACTAGCAATTATTTCAAGATATAAAAAAGCACTTTGTCAATGACAGGGCTCAATAAGATAAGAACAATGAAGAACAGGCTCTGGGAATTCATGAAGTGTCTCTACCCAGTAAGAAAAACCCCTGGAGTCAGAGCTGCCCCCACATCCTAAGGGGTTGAAAACACTAGAAAAGGTGCCAGTTTTGCCTGATTACCCTTTTTCACCACAAAAGAAACAAGGATCAGGGAAACCATCAAATTCTATTCCTCAGCACTCCTAGCAGTGCCTGTCCTGCTTCCTCGGGAACGAATGGGGAGAAAGCTGAGCAGCCCAGGGTGCTGCATGCCACTTCTCTCTGCAATCCCAATCAGGGGTCCCAGGGGAAACAGCAGCGACACTCCCCACACCCTGGTGCCTCCCACATACAAGGCCCTGGGCACATGACTCAACACAGCCAACCACCACCACTCACCTGGTGTGGTTTTCTTTTTCTGAGGCCCCAAAGCTCTTTTTCTCCGACTCATCCACCCCCTCTGAGGTCTCCAGTTCCACTGACATGGTTGCCGAGTGAGATTCTTGCTGCTCTCACTCTTCTGGTCCTGTAGAGACACAAGGAGCTGGTGATGTGGAGCCCACAGCATCACTTCCCCCAGACACCTGCTGGTTCTGCTCTCCTCTGAGCCAACATAACGGAGGAGTCACCCACGCGCCTCAGGAGTGTTTTCTTTAAAAATAAAACTCTGCCATTACTGGGACCATTATCCGGATATGGACAAGATTTGAATATGGACAGGAGATGAGGTAATAGCGTCAAATTGATACTGAACTTGCTTTTTTTTTTATAATTGTACTGTGAGTATATAAGAGAATGTCTTTGTTTTAGGAAATACATCCTGAAGTATTCAAAATTAAAGGCCACACTTCTGCAAGTTAACTGTAAAATGGTTCAGAAAGTGTGCGTGCGTGCACATACCTGTTAGGGAGAGGGAGGGAGGGAACACTCAAGTCAAAGCAAATGAAACAAAACACTGGCAGTGAATTTGGATAAAAGGTACACAAGAGTTACTTGTATCATTCTTGCAGCTTTTCTGTATGTTTGAAATTATATCAAAATCAGAAGTTAACCTAAAACACAAAATAACAAATAACATCATAGATAAAGCTTAAAACCAAAAGCAGTGGTGCAGCGAGCAGAGCAACTCTGAGTTGGGCAGCAACCCGTCCCAGCTGTCACAGGCAGGGCGGCCTTGTGCACAGAGCCGCGGGGCAGGGCAGTTAATTGGAACAGTGAGCCAGGCCATTTGAAGACGCTAAGAGCAGCTGGAAAGGCACTCGACGAGCTGAATCAGGTATTCAGAGTCACCAAGCAAGTGGACTGTCCCCAGCCTGCTCCAGACTTTGAGGGGCTGAAGGAAGAAAGACAAGCTAGCCGCTCTCCCTTTGCTGCTGAACCTTCCGAACCTTCCTAAACCAGGGAAATACGGTCCCACAAGACAAGCTAACCCTCCACCCCTGGAGGCCTCTGCTCTGGAGCACAAAAGAGCAGCCCATCTGGGAAACTTTCCAGATGAACAGCGCACAGTTCACCAGTTACTAATGTAACTCACGAAACCAGAACTACCCAATCAAGCCAAGGAAAGAAGAGGTCTTTATTTTCCTACCTCAACCAGTATCTATTTACTGAGCATTTTCTACATGCTCTACCCAGAAATAGGTGTCAAGGGGGACAAAAAAAGTGTAAGTAATGGTCCTTTGAAGGTTTAAAGAAGAAAATAAAAATCAACCTCTAACTCACTCCACAGATACACCCACTGTTAACGTTAGTACGTATCCTGAGTTTTCTCCAGACATGTAATTACATCTTATCTTTTGGGATATTATAATACATGGTTTGCTCAGCATGCTCTTTCTGAACCTTTATATTTAGCATTTATACAGTGGGATTGACAGGATTAAGTGAGAACAGGGAAGATAAGGCTTTTAGCACAGTGCCTACCACATGGTAAGCACTCACTAAATAGTAGATATGATTGCCTTTGTATTTTGACTGAGGCTTAACTGCTGTTGTCCTAGAATGCTTAGAAAATAAATAGCAGAAAGTGAAATAAGCCAGACAAAGACATGCAGGGTATCATTTGTATGTGGAATCTAAAAAAAGAGGCTTAAGTCATAAAAACAGAGGGTAGAATGGTAGTTGCCAGGGGATAAGGGTGGGAGCAATAGGGAGATGTTGGTAAAAGGGTACAAATTTTCAGTTATAAGATGAATAAGACCTGAGGATCTGTGAACAGCATGGTGACTAGAGTTAATAATACTTTACTGCATAACTGAAATTGGTAAGAAATGTAGCTTTTAAGCGTTGTCACAGAAAAATATTTGAGGTGATAGATGTTCATTCAATTATGAGAATCCATAATTATAAATCACATTGTATACTTTAAACATAATTTAATTTTTTAAATAAAATTTTTCATGTTTATTTAATTTTCAGAGAGAGAAAGAGAGCGTGATCTGGGGAAGGGCAGAGAGAGGGAGACAGAATCTGAAGCAGGCTCCAGGCTCTGAGCTGTCAGCACAGAGCAGGATGCTGGGCTCAAACTCACAAACCGTGAAATTATGACCTGACCAAAGATGGATGTTTAACCGACAGAGCCACCCAGTCACCCTCAACAAAAAAATTTTTTAAGGCTTATTTATTTTTGAGAGAGAGAGGAAGAAAGACAGAATGCCAGCAGGGGAGGGGCAGAGAGAGGGGGAGACACAAAATCCAAAGCAAGCTCCAGGCTCTGAAGCTGTCAGCACAGAGCCTGACACAGGGCTTGAACCCACAAACCACAAGATCATGACCTGAGCTGAAGTCGGATGCTTAACCAACTGAGCCACCCAGGCACCACGAAATATATCATAATTTTACTTGTCAACTATACCTCAATAAAGCTGGAAAAAGAAAAACAGAATATATAGAAAATGGGACCTTCCCTTGACTCCCAAATCACATATACTTTCATCTCTAATAATGCTGATGAAGGCTATGGTTCATTAACGTCAAGTCCAGGATGTGAAAGTAGGTGGTCATCACATGGAGAGAAGGCTATTCAGAAAGGCTTCCTGGAGAAGGGGGGGTGCTTACCCAGCTCCCTCAACACCATACAGGATTTAGGGTGGAGGAGAGGAAGGGCCTCTGGATCAAGGAACAATGTAAACAAAGTAAAATGGGACAGACCATAGAGATGGCCTAAGGGTGCCCAGCTATGCATCCTGTGTCCTTTTACCAAGGGGCCAAGGCAGACTTTGTCGGCTGCAGAATAAGCCTCACACCAGCTTGTCCATGCTGACCTCCTTTTACAGACTTAAGAAAGAACATCTGAGCTCTATGCCCATGAGGACCCTCAGAGCCAAGATTTATCTCAGGCCAGTCGGCCCTCAGGCTGCTAAGAGAAGGTGCTGGATGGGCCACCCAGTAGAGGGAAGAGGGGAGAGTAAAAGGTCCCAGAGCCTCTAGACAGGTGGCAGGCCCACATGGCCATGCTGAAGACATACCCCAGGTACCTGAGGACTGCACCTCCCATGCTGCCTGCAGGTGAAACTGAAAGTAGGCAAACACAAGAACAAGTGTGCAATCGGGCTGCCCTAGGTTACCAGCTGCAGTAACTTAGGTAAACTTTCTGCACCTAATTATCATGCTGCACAACAGTCATTATACATGTAATTCAATCTGATCATTAATTGTTTTGTTTGATAATAACTGCACACTCTGGGAGGATGTAGTCTTGCTCGACCAACAGGACCTTTTGCTTCTCTTACAAATATGAAAGGGGGAGGGAAAGCAGGCTGCCACAGATGCCTCCTCATCAGCACTTTGTGCCAGTCTTCAGGCACACCTTCCTCCCACCTTCTTCAACCTCAGTCCTGCCCTAGAGCCCCTAATCCCCTCCTCTCAACCCAAGGGAGGTCCAACTCTGGCCCCAGGGGCAGGGCCACAGGTGTCTGTTTCATTGCTGGAGCTCCAGAGCCTGGGAAATAACAAGTTCTCAACAAACACTTGTTAAATTAAAAATCCAAAGGTGGGGGAAGGGGGGTGTGCCTGGCTGGCTCAGGCGGAAGAGCATGTGACTCTTCATCTCGGGATCGTAAGTCCAAGCCCCATGCTGGGTGTACAGATTACTTACATAAATAAAAACTTTAAAAAAATCCGAAGGAAAGAAAGCAGGCAGGCAATGATCTCATGCATCCTGCCAACAACGTGGCACCTGTGGACAACAAAAAGTACTCTGCTGTTGACTACTTCAATAGTTTTCTAAACTCAAAACATGATTTAACAATTTCGTTTTTGAAGGAAAGATAGGTACTGGCCTACTTCACTCAGAAGGAAGAATACAGATGGGGCACCTGGGTGGCTCAGTCAGTTAAGCGTCCAACTTTGGCTCAGGTCATGATCTCATGGTTTGTGAGTTCGAGCCCCGCGTCAGGCTCTGTGCTGACAGCTTGGAGCCTGCTTCGGATTCTGTGTCTCCCTCTCTGCCCCTCCCCTGCTTGTGCTCTCTCAAAAATAAATAAATATATTTTTAAAAAGGAAGAATACGGAGTCCTTAATGTGGACTCAAAGCACCATCGGCACAGATGGGAAGAATGCTCTGAGAAAGGCTCAATTAGCACATTCAACCCATACGAGCAGGGTCCAGGCAGGGCGGCCTGTGTCCATCATGTGGCCTGGTCACTGTTCCTCAAGGGGGTGGCTGGGTAGTACAGCATTCAGAAGCCACCTTGCAATGTCAGAAAAAGAATTCACTTCTGAAAAGCTACGTGTCCAAATTTGGTCTGACTGGCCCTCTATGCCTGAATCCTTTTTTCTCTGCAGGAGCCCCTGGAATCCCTAGAAAATCAGAGGTCAAATCATAAATGTAGAACCTTTCTAGACTTCAACCTCTCATTATCGAGAAGCTGCCTCACTCCACCAGGAAAAACAACAACAGAAAATATCCCAAAAGATTAACAGTAATCTGTACCAAAATGATAAGTAGCCATAATATGATGTTAGAAAAAAGTCACACAGCCTAACAATACAGGGTTGGACTGCTCAAACAACAGCAAACAATAGAATCCTGGCACAGCTGGGACAAGTTGATAGGCTGCAACCACTATGGAAAAGTCTACATAAACTTGTTTTAAATAAAGGACTCAAAACGCTGACTACAACCATGCACAAAAGTATGTAAGTAAAAAAAAGAAAAAGTACTGAAGTATACTGACAGTAACAGGAAAGCTATTTAAGAGTATAAAACGCACAATAAATTATATTAAAGAAAAAAAAATAAAGCTCAACGTACCAGTTCCAATCAAGCAATCAATCAATAAAAACAAAAGAGTATAAAACTTGTTATTTGACTTTTTGGCAAACTGGCTACTTCTTTTATATAAAGTGGCCAAATTCTCTTGAAAAGGGGGAAGAAAGGCAAGGGAGAGAGGAAGAGGGGGAGGGAGAGGGAAGGAGAGAGAGAGACAGAGACAGAGAGAAAGAGAGAGGAAATGGACCAAGCAAACCAGCTAAGGTAAGATCCTGCACTACACGAGTC